TCTAGGTGCAAAAGCCATACAGAGCCGCAGTGTGCATGGGCCACTTGTTTCAAATGCTTCAGGTTCCAACTTTACCTGCTTGAAGCTCAACCTTCGCAGTTTGATAGACGATCCCATTGGCTTGTCAAAAGAATCATGGCCAGGACAGACCTTCCCTCAGCACAATTCAAAAGTGCAACGGGCACAGGCCTGGCCGGCAAGCTGCAATCCGCAATTGGGCTTCTGTGGGCATAAAGATTGACAGCCAACTTGTGAGCTGCAAAGGCGCAAATCCATCGGGCGGCACAGCAATGGCTGAGCTCCAAAGCACTCCGGGGAGGCTTTCAGATTTGATCCGGCGAAATCTTGAGGTCTCAACATGGGCCAATGCCAGTTCCATTCCCTGGGCCTTCCACTCGCGAATCATGACATGGGACAGCGAACCGTCCGTTCGCGCGAGCGCCCGCGGAGTTCCGCGCCAGCTTTACTTTGCCACCCCGGCGTGAGGATCCACTTAAGCGCCGGTCCTAAGGCCAAAGAAGAAGCCAAATAAGAAAATATAACCCGGAAGAAGACGTTTCGACCTCTCTGATGGTAGTGGTCGACAAAGTTTTAGCAGCCATGATTCTCTTCTCGATCACATAGTGCAAACTGTGCAAACAAAGTGCAACGCCCTGCTCAAAGCATCGGCACCACAATTGTGTTGGGTAGACGACCACCGAATCTCATGAGTATTCACACATCACACCTGGCCAACGATGGAATGAGGGTGCATGCAGTCCGTCATAGAATTGAGCTGAAGCTATATTCTGAATTTGATCTGATATGTTTTAGCCGGCATGTGTCTCTGTGTGTCTGTCAGTGTGTTGCCATTTTGTTGATCGCTCTTTCAGAGGTTGGACTCGTCAAAAATCATGGTATGTTAAACCACCCCCTAGCTGACTACCCCCCCTCCTGGAATTAGGGATAGCCCCTTATTAAGGCCTTATTAGGGTCTTAATAAGCTAATATGTTTTATGTTAGCAGAATAAGGGCAAAATAGGGGCTACTGCTTCAACCTTTTTCGTCACCACTAGTTTGGTCGTATTTTGGGCTGAGGTCCGCTGAGGTGTGAATGTCACGGGATGATGGGTTCCGGACTCGTCTGGGTGCCAAACAAGACATAGTTTCAGAAACACACAAACTCAGCCACGACAGGTGCAGCACCCGCTCCAGCTGACTTCAATCGAATCAAGTTCTCACAAACAAAAACAACAGGAGGAAATTGTCTAGCGGAGCCTTTCGTGTTGCAACAATATTTTGGCCTTCTGTTGGCCTGCCTGAGAAATCTTCAAATGCCGTCGGGGGTTGCCCTTATTTCGGCCTTATTTGGGCCTTATTTGGACCTTATTTTGGCCTTATTTGAGAAATCTTCAAATGCCGTTGGGGGTTGCCCTTATTTGGGCCTTATTTGGACCTTATTTTGGCCTTATTGCAGAAATCTTCAAATGCCGTTGGGGGTTGCCCTTATTTGGGCCTTATTTGGACCTTATTTAGGGCTTATTTGGACCTTATTTTGGCCTTACTTTGGACTTATTTCAATTCTCTTATTTGAGCCTTATGTTGGCTCGGGTTTGACTTTAGGCAGGGTTTGGCCCTTCCTTTGACATAGTTTGTATTTTTTGTGGGGGAAAGTGAGCGTCAATCAGTGGTGAGTAGTGAGCTGTGCAGAAAATGCTCTCACCACACGCCAGCGCAATCCCAAGTATTTGCATTCTGCTACCATGTATGTGGGGTCCAGGGAGTGGCGTTGGGGCGGTTGAACGATGGAAAGCGTCTGCTTGGCAAGGCCCGAGTTTGGCTTGTTTTAGCCCCAGTCAAATTAACTTCCGGGGGGGGGGGGGGTAGTTGGCTAGGGGGTAGCTAAACATACCATGAAAAAAGGGTCAGTTCTAAAGGCGGCGTTCTTCGAGCGGATCCGCTCACGCGCTCAGATCTCGCTTGCAAATCGGGCACAAGCGGTGCTCTGCGCACCACTGGGCAAGGCAAGCCTGAGTCAGGGGCTCACGTGAACCTCTCACGTCAATGCGTGGCCCAAAACTTGCCCTTGCTACTCCCCTCTAGACTGGTGACACTGGCCAAGCAAACAGCACATATTCTGGTGCTGTGAGCATTTGAGACCTTCAACTCTTTAAGTGCAGAAAAACATCAATGGTTGGAGTACTTGGCCGCTATAAGCAAATAAGGATGCCAAGTCCACTTCCCGCGGAATACCTTCAGCCTGATCTGCTTGGTAAAGTCATGTAAAGTCTCAAGCTCTGATTTGGCAAGCAGAAGTGTGGCATGCTTTCACAAATAGGACGCTTTGCAAGTCAACCTTTTGTTTTGCAGCTCCGGTCGCCGTCCGCAAGCTATGTTCGTCGCCTTCGCAAGTTCACCCCGCCCCCCGCCTGGTGAAAGTAGTGACCGCATGGCGTGCGGAGGACCTCGCCATTCGTCAGCGCGTCCAGACAGACCACGCAGTCGCGGGCTCCGCCATCCTGCACAAGGTGCAAGTGATGTGGTACAGGCGATTTGGTCGGCTCAACCATCAGCTGATTCAGCTAAGTCTCGTAACTTTCGCTCGGGAGTGCCGTCAAATGCATCTTACCATTCATTTGGGCCGCGACTGTGCCATGCAAGCTATTGGCGTGCCTGATTGGGCCCCAATTCGCAAAGTACCTGAAATTAAGAATATGGCGGTGTGATGAGCATGGAAGTTCTCTTGGCTTGAGGCTTCTGGCATCGGCCACACCGATGCAAAAATGGCCATAAAATAGTGTTCTGCACATTTGTTGCAATACTTCCAAAAGCTGAATTAACGGCTCCCCAAGTAGAGGACCTTTCTCATGGTGAGATCGTTTTACCCCCAGGTGAGCTCACCATAAAATAGGCAGAGTATTGGGTCACTTCACGTAGCTTCAGCTAATCTCGCTCCGGCATAGGATGTGATTCAGCAATCCAGTTTACCCATGCAAACAATTTGCTGGGGCTCCCTCAAAACACATGGGGTCAAACACAGGTACCCCAGATGGAACCTTGGTAAATGGAAGTATGGACTAGAACCTGCGGTTTGCTGGTGGTGTGATTTTGACCCACACCCAAATGAGGCGATGCCCCAGCCATTTTCGCCCCTCCTGCTCCAAGAGTTCGGCTGCATGGCTGGGAACGGAGGGCATCTTCTTGACCGCCTTGTTAGGTCCGAAGAATTTCGGGTAGCTGGACATGGCCATGGGTCAAAATCCCGTACCCCCCGGTGAACATCCCAATCCCCACTAAAATAGACTAAAATGGGTGCTACCCCAAAATGGTACCATTGGTTTTGACCCACAGCCAGGGTCAGAATCAATCCACCACGGAACCGCAGGTTTTAGTCCTTTCCATGTACCAGAGTTCCATTTTGGGTACCCATTTTTGACCCACAGCGATATCTCTTAAAGGTTACGCTTCAGGGTTCGATTGAATGATAAGCCACCTTTGTTGGAGTTCAATGATGGCCCTGGTCTCGGATACAACAGCCTTTGTCCGCTCTTGCCCGAACCTTCGGAAAATCCTCATTACCTTCTCTCGCGGGCTCTGAAACGTGAGCCTCTACTGAACAAATAAGATCTCGCCAAGGTAGCCAGTCTCCTCCAGACCTCCGCTAAATCGTGCTTGGAAGACAGTACCGAAGAGATCCGAGTTGGGTGAAACGGGCGCTCTTTGCCGCGCTGCAAGCCATTTCTGCACCACTACAAGTCTCCATCTGGCCTCGGGGCATCCGCGTACGCGTTGCGCGCCGAAGGCGTTCCTGCAGTTTGAAGCGACAAGTCGCGGCACGGGCTGAGATGCAAATGCCCACCATGCCATCACCGTCCAGGAAAGTTGTCCCAGAATCTTGATCCCTGGACCTAATGAGAGCCCCTGACACTTGAATCTCTCGTTTGCAATTTGGAACATGTGCGCGTCTCAAGTCCATGTAAAAACAAGGCATACTTGCTACGGTGCACTGAAGAAATCCGGCACCGCCTCGGCAAGTGACCCCTGGAGATGAACTAGGGCCGTGAACCCCGCGCCCCTAGTTCAATACTGAGCGTGTAAGTGCACGGTTGGTCTGGTGCAATTACCCTCCAAAGCTCCAAGTCAAGTTGAGAGAACGTGGTGCCATGAGACTATTCTCATTGCAGATATTTTGTTAACGCTGCGCTATCAAAATCGGCATCTTTCCAATTGCCACAAACTGTGCAAAGGGGACAATATTTTACATCGTCAGGCAGTAGGTTTTTGGATTTCGACATGCGTTCTTGACGGCACCTGATCCACACATCCATGCTGCACCCATGACTGCTTGCAGTCAAGCGTCCCTGACCAGCTGACAACGATGACCTCAGCGGATGTCTCAGGAATGAGGAAGAACTTAGAGCTCGGAAAGCTTCCATATTCAATCCACTGAGGCCACATAGGACACAAAGATCGATAACTGTGACCCTGGTAGATGTTAGTTCTTTCAGGAAGGTACAGTGTAGGACACCACAAAGAAACTCCCCACATGACAGGCAAAGGAAGTCGCGGAAAAGTGAAAAGAAAGCGGGCACATGACGACTTGCGGCACCAAATTCTGGTCTGAAGTCAACTCGCAAAACTGGGTGCCAACCTTGACAACCTGGTCACGCCGGAAGAAGACGCGAGACACGCGTCTTAGCTGTGGGCGCGGCCGTGACGACCGCCACCAAAGAGAAGATGAGGATGCCCGCAGCTTCAAAATATAGCAGGTGGGACACCTCAGGATGACACATATGTTGGCTTGTCTCAAAAAATCGGCCCCCACGAGAAAACTTCGGCCGAGTCCTTCTCTTCTCCTTTAACACCACCTCAAACCGGCACCGTCAAAGAAGAACATCCGCATCGCTTGGGGCACGCAACAACTGCCAGGGCGTACTGTGCCATTTGAGGTTGGAAGCCAAGGGTTGGCTCGCACATGACAGCCCTTGAACCTCGACTGCAGAAGTCTCGGCTTTCCTTTTACTCTCAAAGCGGCGCTATGCTCGTGCAGGCACAAGCCACTAGAGAGCGCGTTTGGGCCTCCGGCCGTTTTGCCGGCCGTTTTGCCAGACATGCCTTTCGTCAATCTATGGCGGCCACCTTGACGTTTGCCAAGTGGCCGTTGGAGAGCTTTCACCTAGGCGACTTTTCCCCCGCGCTGCACCGGCTATTTCCCGCGCACCACCCAGAGCGCCTAGGGCTTCACCGGCTGCTCCCAGGTCCGGAAGGCGTAGTCATGGGCCCGGCAGCTCTCCCAAGTCTTCCAGCCGCCGGGAAGGCTTTCCGCCAGCTCCAGCCGCAGCTCCTGCGCCGTCTGGTAGTGGGGCTGGCTGTGCGCCTGCCAGAGCCACATGGCTGTGGGTGTCAAAACCGTTTTGGGATCCCATTTTGGTTGCTAGGTGAATTCACCACCCATTTTAGAACCATCCTACAAAGCCACATGCTACGTGTTTTTTGGGAACGCTGGCTCGTGCCATTGGCGTCATCTAGCGCAGCTGCGTCTGTGATCTTGGGCTGGTTTCAATGAGGCGATACTGTCGCCCTAAGTTTGGCGAAAGCACAGCAGCTCTATCAGCCCATACTTGGTCAGCCAGAGTCAGGCCTGCAGTGAGTCACCTTTGCGGAGAAAAAACAAACCCGAGATGTGTTTCTTATGTGTGATGTAATCCTTTAACAAAGTCGGGCATTCATAGTTTCGCTTTCGCCGCTAGGAGATGGGCCTCTTTGAGTATACTCACGGGTTGAACACAATGATCACAGGTCTGCTTCTGGCTTTCTTTTCTAAGGCCTTACCAAAGTGCCGGACATGCTCATCTACTATTTGCAGACAAAGTGCGGCTCATGACAAACCAAGCCGGCATGCCTCCTGCAAAACCATCTTGAAGGTGAAACATTTTCAATCAAGTCTCACCCCAACCAAACCAACAGCAAGGCTTGACCAGTGGCTTGCAGTTTGCTCACAGTAAAACGTCGCCGACGTGCGCTTCCAAAGCCGGATCTCCACAACCTCGCACCTCCATCTGCAGCAGCAGCTGCAGCACGAGTGGAAACTGCTTGCATCGTACACAGGCGCGCACCTGAAACAGCGGCTGGACACGTGAAGTCTGCAAACTCAGCGACCCGTGTCCCCGTGTCTGCAAACATAGCAGGCCGTTTGAAGAAACACATATAGGGCGCGGGGGGGGGGGGGGGCAAGAACGCCGACCTCGTATGAATGGAGTGCCCCGTCGCCGGCACCCCACATGCTCAAAATCGTCCGCATGACACCGCCATACTTGGCCGGTGCAGAGCTGCACCCTAAGCGTGGCGATGTGGTACCACTGTGGAGCAAAGGGGTTTGGTGTAGCTTCCGGGTTCCAGGTGCAAGGTTTAGGTTAGGGCTCGGGTTTGGGTCTAGGGCCTATGTTTCAGGTTCAGGGGTTTTCCGTGGACGGTGAATGGTTTCGGACTTGGCTTACGCAGGCTGAGGGCTTCGGAGGGCTAAGGACTCTGCGAAAGGGTTTGAAACAATATTTCGGGAGAGAATAAACAGGCCCAATCCCACCAACAAGAAGAGATTGTTTAAGTCCCCCAGTCCCAAGGGCAAAGCGGTGCCCCCGGCTGGCACAACAAACGAACCAAAACAGGGTGCCTTTAACCAAAAGATAAATGAACCCAGCCAGGGCAGAGACAACCGAAAGCAAGCACAAAGCAGCAAACCAAGCAGGCAAACAACGCAGCGAAGCAAGCAAAGCAAACCAAAGCAACCACCACCCCCAGCCTGTGACCTGCTCCAACCCGGAGCCACCCGCGGCACTGCCAGCTCCGCTCTTTTCGACGTGGAGATGGTGCGCCGCGCCGTATGGCGCGAGTCGACGAGACAGCACAAAGGGAACGCCGTGGTTAAAAGCTTGAGCCAAACCGCATTGGGTATTGGCATGAAATACACATGTTGTGATAAAAGTACATGCCCCCAAAAACACCCCCCTCGACTGTACAAAGAGAAGGAGTGAACTTGGAAAGGCGCATTGGCCATGTTGAAGTTGAATAGCAACAAACAAGAAAAACAAAGCCGATTAGGCTACCAGGGTTCGCGACCCCAAACCCGGGCACTCATTGGTGCCCGGATCCCGCCACCACCCCGAATTACGGGTATGGGGCGGATTCGCGCCGGTAGCCAAATCAAACAAGAGAGAGCAAAACGAAACAGAAACAAAGATTCAACTCCAGAATGGCAGGCATGAAGCTAGATAAATACATTTCCATTGCAACCACATTGAACCGATAGACTCAAGTGGATTTAATTTTTGAATTATTTGACAAGGCGCTTTGGCCGGTTGGTTGAAACGTGATGCGTTGACCAGTTATTTTCGGCCTTAAAAAGCACCGTCTAGGCGCGCGGTCACTCGAAGACGGCCGGCACGAGTAGCACCGGCAGCCGTCAGCGGTTTAGGTCCGAGTTGGACACCTCCGGCAGCGGTGCAGCGCAATCGCGATCATCACGCCAGCACCTCGATGAGTTCCTTCACCAGCTGCATCAGCGGTTCAGGAGGATGCGAATCGCCAGCGGCCAAGGGTGCCGGCGAGGATGACTGCCTTGCGGTAACAGGGCGTACCTGGCAGGACAATGTGACCGGCGCGATTAGCGCACGTTCACCCGTGCATGTGAATTATGAGTCGGTGAATAACCGATTTTGGTGGATCGACGCCAGGAGCATTGTCCTATATGCGTCATCATGCAATAATTGAATTTACGATGAGATCATCGAAAGGTGCAAGTGCGCATTGGCACTTTTGGGTACGACTCAGCGCATGCAGAACATGAAAGGGCATCATTTGCCCCTGCCGCCGCCGCGTCGTCCCCTTCCCTTCCCAACGTTCCAATCCCCGGGTGGGGGATGAGAAGGCTCGGTTTCAGCCAACTCATCATCATCACCCCAAGTTGGGGTGTGAGGTGAATTAGGATTTACATACGCGCCGGGATTTTCCGGCGGAAACTGCGACCAACCCTGCGGCATTGCGCCGGGCCACATCTGCGGCATCATGCCAGCCATGTGCTGCTGCATGAAACCCCCCATCGGGAATGTGGCATGGCACGTCCATGCAACACGTTGCCACTACATTTTTCAGGAAATGCCGCGATGCCGGCTTTCCCGCCTACCCATCCAATGCGATGTGGTTTGGCTGCTCAAAGAAGAGCTCAAACGGTGGTGTCGTCGGCATCGAAAGAGGCGGACACCAATTCATAGGTCTTGTATCGGCTTTTACCGACCTGACCTCTATTCTGAGGCGCGAATACGCCATGAACGGTGAGATCCAGGAAACCCTGGCGATCGCCCTCAACTACCTGATCGAGGAGGGCAAGTTGGTGAACCCACCAGAGTCCTACCTCAGTGCCGTTAAAATGTGCGGGGGCCAAACGTGCCTCACGCCGGTGCATCGGTGGTCCACTTCCGAGGACACACCATGGGCGGAGGTTATCTCTGCGCCCAGAGCGATGTCTGGCGGCCAAGGCGCCCAGACGCGTTCAGCTTCGGTCAATGCACCTAGAGCGCCGTGTGCACGGAATTCGGATCCTCAGTCCACGCCCAGCCCTAATACGGGCGGTGGGCAGCAGACTATGGCCCAACGCGTCCGGTCCTCAACTCCACCTGCAACAGGTAAGCAGGGGCTGGGCCAGGCTATGGCCAATCTTGGTCTTTCGCCCGCAGTTTACGGTAATCAGAAGGGAACCATCCCTGCAAAACCGAAACCTGCGTGTGGGTACACCCCATCTACGTCTGGTGCTCCGACGAAATTTGGCGGCCAAAGAGTTGCCTTGAAGCTCAACACTGGGAGGCAGATTTTCGTGGCTAAGCCCAAACCTCCGGAGCTTCCCAAAGACGCATATGGTGACGATTTCCCGACTCTGTCTGTATACGGCCAGCAATACGGCCGTGGCGGATCCGCCCGGTCGAGGACGCCGACAGGCGGCTATCAACCTGACGCACGCGGCTCGGGATACGAGGGCGCACAAGCCGCCCCTTTTCCGTACCCAAGCCCCATGTACCCCACACAATTCCAGGGCCAGACAAGATTATTGTCGGCGCCTGGCTTCGCCCACCCTTGTTGGCGAATGCCTTCAACGCATCGATGCTTTCATCGATGATTCTACCCGCTTCGGGGTTGGGACCGTAAGTGTTCTCAGATTTGAGCCACTCGGTCAACCACACACATTTGGTGAAGATGACGAATATGTCATCCTTCGCCCTTGCGGGCGCACCAGCGTGCACCGGGTCCGCGAGCTTGGGACCGACCACCGTACGAAGGAGTTCAGATATTGAACTCTCCTCGTCGACCTCCACGACCTCCAGTGCGTATTCACCAGTCTTGGCCGGGAGATTTGTCCTGATGGTCGTCCACTGCTCCTGAAGCTTGGCCTCAGAGATGGATTGGCCCGCGCTGCCGGTAATCCAGTGCGATTGACCGACCAACACAACCACACGAGACCCTCTACGCCTTGGTAGGAGATCTTGTTAGGAACGCATCCGCTCAGAATCTCGGCGCATAGGCCGGCTGCAGCGGAGGGATTAACGTACCCCAGCATTGTGAGGACGAACCCCAGACAGTCAGGCTCTTCACATTCAGCGTACTCCATGGCCGTGACAGGCCAGATCATGGAGAGAATGTATGTGCTCACCTGGGGAGCCCATGTGAACCACCCTTCGTGTACAAGGTCACATGGCTGGTCAACTGGACGATCAGGGTAGATGCTACCGCTGATTGCGTCCATGAATTCTTCGCATCGAGTGGCCGCACATACAAGCTCGAGCATAGCGCGCTTTGGCGCATGATACATGAGCTTTGCAGCTTCGGAAAGAGGGAGGCCGCCGGCTAACGGGAAAAACTTCCCCTCCGATGCAGGAACGTAATGCTCCCAGATTTCCCTCAGCGGAAAGCACCGTACCTCGTCGAGTTCACGGACCTCCTTGGGGAAAAACTTGAAATCCACTTCGCTACCGGGCCTTGCCGGATTGACCGAAGTTTCACGCGCCACTGACCCGGCGGGAGTTTCCGCTCCGATGTTCAGCACAGGGCGCGTAGCGCCGTGACGGAGCCATCCAACCTCCGATGAGTGAGGGTTTACCTCAAGCATGGGATTAGGTGCAAGCAAGCTTCCTGATACGGCTGCTGTTCCTTCTTCAACCGACTCTTCTTTGAGAGCGATTGCTTCAACGCGGACACGGAACTGCCTAATCACGCGTTGGTGGGCAGGCCCCTTCTCAGTGCGTTTCAACACTTCAGAAGCGTTTCTGCCGAGAGGACGGATCAAGAGGGATAGCCGGGCGGTTACGCCAAGCCCAATGTGACTGACACGTGAGTAGAATCCCTCGAGGTAAACGGGTTTTACCGTGGTCCACACGCCCGTAGGCGCATCGGCGTTGCCGGGCGACGCCACTACGTTCCCGTGGGCCATTATGTTCCACAGGGACGAGAACTGGGTTCCATGAACCCACTTTTCATGCATGCTAGCTGCATCGAGCTCCTTGCGATGTCGCATGGGGAACACCAGGTACCCATCATGCTCATGCACGGGATCACCGGCGTGCCAGTCCCCGATCTGCTTGGCTGGCATCTTAAGCGGCCTCGCGCGCTTCCAGTCAACCAGATGGAAAATTGTGGGTGCAATCCCCACTTGATCAATAAAGAATTCAACGAACGATTCATAAGAGGACCACACGGCGTCGATTTCCCGGCGCATTGACCCGACCTCAAACGCGTGTGCACTGACCGACTGCATCTTTGTCAGCGCATCGGCTGAGATGCTATAAATTGCCTTCATGTATCTAACTACCGCTTTGGGCGGGGTACAGAGTGCAGTGGGGCGTTGGTACGCCCACGCCTTGAATGCCTCTTCGGCACCAGCCGGCTGTACGTTGGAAGGCAAATCCCTTCTTCCCTTCTCGACAACCGTTTCCGTGGCACGAATAACATTCTTACTCGCAACCTGGAAATATGTACTCCAGCGTGGGTCGATCTTTCCCAGATCGTACAACCAGTTCCCGCCTCGGGGAACCAGCGCTGGAGAGACGGCCGTCGACACGGTCATCTCCAAAAT